CAGGCAAGAAGTCCTCAGCCAGAGCCTTTTCAACAGGTGCAAAAGAATTGGCCACATCAGGGACAACTCTTTGGAGGTATGTCCATTTGGCCTGTAGCGATTTTGTCAGACTGGCAAAGGCAGCTTGAGGATATCAGCGGGCGGCCCCAGCAAAGAGACAGATGCTTTCAACCCATTTGTGGATCTGGGGCTTGAGCCAGTTGTCCCTGGCTTTGGCAGTACTGATGAAACCTCCTATGTACTGGTGTCTGTTGCAAAAATCAAAGTAAAATTCTTGTACAATTTTGGTTGAGTCACATTGTACTGGCAATTTCAGAGACTGTTCCATGCATGGTGGCATTGTTGGCATAAAACAGTAGGACCACTGTCAGAAATTTAGCTCAAAGGGTTTTGGCAAGTGGGACCAAAGCCAGACCATACAGGATCATTGAAAGTGGATCCCCCTGCTGGGTCACACCTTCTCGTGAGTAGAGAACTGTGCAGGGGTCAGTCAAGGATTTGCCCCTGAGAATCAGCTTTGCCAAATGCCAGTAGCAATTGAAAAAGAACTGGGTGCTGGCTGGCCAGAGGTGGCAAATGGTCTAGAGCACAGGTTATAATTTCCACACCTATTGGTTGCAAATGGACCTGCAACGTGAAGTACACACTTGGCCATAAGCCGCCGGTAAATCTCACCAATTCCAACCGTTGTTTGTCCAATGCCACGAGGCATCAGGTCATGAGGGCACGGTAAGCAGCCCATGGGGGATGATGATTGGCCAACGAGTTCATTATGAGCCCAAATTCCTCCTGCAGCAGCTGGGAAATGTTTCCAAAGTGGATCAGCCATGTTTTGAGTTCCTCCCTGTCTGTGTCACCAGGACCAGCAGCACCAGAAAGTTTGGCACCAATCAACTCAACTATGTCCTGCGTTATACTTAGTGGCATTGTTTTGGGTGTTTTGGAGTAGTGTTCAAAAACCCCATCCATGTTGCCCAGGGTTGTTGGATTCCGCAGAGGTGGATGCTTTGATTTCAAAATGTCTAAAACTGGCCTTCCAGCTTTTGTGCACTTGTCATCTGAATGCAAACTCCTTGTCCTCTCTGTTGGTGAGATTTTGGCACACTGCTCTGATCCGACCCAAAAGAAAAAAAATCATAAAATTATATTTAACCTTGTGAACTAGAAGAGGCACTAATATGGCCAGAACCATAGGTTTTGTTAGAAAGAATGCTTCTAGCTGCTCCAAGGGGCGGCGCCTCCCTCCAAGGAGGTTTTGTGGAGGTGCAACCAAGTTCTATGCACTCTGACAAGCCAATTAAGCCAAGCTGCTGGATTCAGAGGACATAAAAACAATTGGTTCACAGTTTGGATGGATGAGAACCATGCCATTATCATTTCAGAGGGCACTACCAAGCCCGTAGGTTGGGGGGCCTCAATCCCCAACCCATAGGCCAGCTCAGATGCAGTGATGAAGGAAATGTGTGCCACGCACACTGCCAAGCCAATTAAGGCAAGTTGTGTAACAGTGGTTGAGGACACTTGTAGTCAAAAAGAAAAAAAAGCCAAAAAGAAAAAGAAAAAAGAAAAGGAAATGACACACTTCTTTCACCAAATTACAGCTGGTCCCGCCCAAAGGAGCAGCTGTTTGAATATCTTCTTGAAGAAGAAACTGGGAATAAATCCACTAACTCTGTCACCGCTGGTCAGGAGGTTAAATACTGGGGGGGTTGCTATTTCTGTCCACCACATAAGACAGGAACAGCAACAATCATGACCGGAAGCACTGGGGCTTCCAGTCCTTGAGAACTGGGAATGGATCCAGCTGAGGTTGCTTTCCGGCACAGAGGTCAGAAACAACAGCAATTGTGACCGGAAAGCACTGAGCTTCTGGTCCTTGAGAACTGGGGATGGATCCAACTGAGGCAAACTGCACTCAACTGGGGTTGGTGCTGTTGCTTTGTTTCGGCATGGATGTCGGAAGCAACAACATGACCGGAAGCTTCTTCCGGTCCGTAAAAGACTGGAACTGCATGGAGATGCTGAGGAATTGTCTTGAAAACTGAGTATGATGTAGCATATACTCCAGGATTTGTTCTTCACTAGGTCTTGGTTGAATACTGGGGGCTCAGGTTGGTGTTGTTGCTTTCTGACACGAATGCCGGAAACAACAACGTGACTGGAATCTTCTTCCGGTCCGTAAAATACTGGAACTGCATGGAGATGCTGGGGAATCTTCTTGAAAACTGAGTATGATGTAGCATATACTCCAGGCATTGTCCTTCAAGGGGTCTTGGTTGAATACTGGGGGCTGGGGTTGTTGTTGTTGTTGTCTAGCACGAATGCCGGAAACAACAACAACAACGTCGTGACCGGAATCTTCTTCCGGTCCGTAAAATACTGGAACTGCATGGAGATGCTAGGCAATCTTCCTTAGAGTATGTGTGTAGCATGTACTCCAGGCTTGATTCCTCAATAGGATTGAATACTGGGGCTGGGGTTGGTGTTGTTGTTCTTGTCTGGCACAGATGCTGGAAGCAACAACAATAACGTCGTGACCGGAATCTTCTTCCGGTCCGTAAAATACTGGAACTGATACTGAAACTACATGGAGATGCTGGGGAATCTTCTTTAGAGTACTATGTATGTAGCATATACTCCAGGCTTTGTTCTGAACTAGGTCTTGGTTGGATACTGGGGCTGGGGTTGTTATTGTTGCTCTCCGTCACGGATGCCAGAAACAACTTCAACACCGGAAGATACCACTTGGTGCTTCTGGAGGAACAGGGGGATCCAGCTATGGCAAACTACCACCACCAGCTGGTGGATATCAATATACTTGGAATAGGCTTGGTTACATTGCTTGGTTGCTTAATGGAGCCAAGGAGGAGGATTCTCCCCTTTGGAAGGGGATGTCACCATGGTGGATTTGGATGCCAGAAGGTGCTGGTCAAGTAGGAACTACGTAGGAATCAGTAGGGATTCTAGGTGATAATTCTCAGAACCGAAGTGTAATTTTGCGCGTTTGAAAACATTTGATATTAAAATTATGATCCGACCCAAAAGAAGCTTGTCAATGAAGGAGCAAAAAGCTTCCTCATCCTTCTTGTGGGAGACGGGTCCATCTCTGAGACGGGCCTGAGCTATAAAGTTGTCCAGGAGAGGTCCCTTTTCTTCCTACGCTGGTGGCGTCCACTTTGCAGTGCTCAAGCCCTTAAATTGAATTGCAGTCACCAAGTGCAGAAGGCGCATTAGCCTCCAAAATAGTAGTCTTCAAAGTCAACGCCGGGAAAGCCTTATGAGCTTCATTATCTGCCTCAAGCAAAGAAGAAGCCTCCAATGAAGCCTCCAATGAAGCCTCCACATTAGCAGTATTTGAAGCCTCTGCAGCCTCATTCAAAGAAGCCTCTGCAGCTGCAACCAAAGAAGCTTCTGCATCCAAAGAAGCCTCCACGGAAGCCTTTGAAGCAGCTTGAGCTGCTTTTGGAGGCGTGGAAGCCTCCACTGCCGGTAATGAAGCCTCCATGGAAGCTCCAGGTGTATTAATTGCTGCAGTGTTGGCAGCAGTGCTAGCTGCTTTGGGTGTTGCAGTATTTGGTGCATCCGGAGCAGCAGAATCCTCAGAAGCCTCAGGATCCTCCGTTGTTGGATCCGCATCATCTTCCAGATCATCTGTTGTAAAGAAATCTGATTCAGAGGAATCTGAAAGGACCAAGGGATCCTCCTTTAATGCACCTTTTTGGACATTTGCATCTTCCACAGCAGACGCAGAGTGCTTGGGCCCTTTGATGGTTGTRCCGCAGTCAAAGTGCTTCACCTTTGCAATAGCTGACAGGAAACAAGTATCAGAATCCTGTGTGAGAGGTGCAGCCCTGGGCATGTCCGCGTTGTTGTTGTTGTTGTTGTTGTTGTTGTTGTTGTTGTTGTTGTTGTTGTTGTTGTTGTTGTTGTTGTTGTTGTTGTTGTTGTTGTTGTACACAATGATTAGAACAACAAGGCTGCAAAGAAGCAAGAAGACAAATTAGTTCATTCTTGACTCCTGGGGCCACACAGAACTGAAGTTATTGGTGCTTCTTAGAAATAATATTTCATATTAGTACTACTGCTCTACTTCTTCTTTGACTAGTCTTGAGTGGATGGACTATCTCTCTCTCCATCCTTATTTGGAAGAATGCACTTAATATTCCTTTCCTACTACTCCTTAGTCCTCTGGCAAACAGCCTACTGGATATGACCTTTATTACATTGTAGTGCTGTAAATGAAATATACTACTACTATTATTAGTATTAGTAGTACTAGTAGTACCAGGACTAACACTTCAATTTTTTATTACTGATACTACTACAATATCATTATTAGTAGTGGTGACACATGCAAAAATACCACACATTTTAGTAATTTTTGGGCTTGATTTTCCCTCACTTATTAAATTTCATACGAGAAACAAGATGTGCATGCAAAACATAGCTCAAAAATCATAAAAAAGTTTGGTATCTATGAAAGAAGCAAGGATCAAACATTATGCATCATAAAGTAGATTTAGGAGATCATGATCTATGGTTAAGCAAAATCATTCCTGAAGTAAACATGTTATGACGGTAATGTAAAGATTCTGAACAATATATTTTTCTCCTTCTTCCAGTTCTCCTCCTCCCCACTMTAAAATTTTTATTACCATCCCTTAAAAGTCATGAGTAAAAAATCCTAATTTTATATTTGGCACCAGAAAAGCTAGAACATTTACTTAAAGGAGGGAGAAGGATGTTTCTAGTAGGTACACCAAGGGGTGGCACTCACAATTAGAGCAACCAATGCACAGACCAGGTAGAGAAATAGAAAGAATACTAACTTTGCCCTGCTAAGGAATCTACTAGTATGTAACAATTTTTAGAATTGGAAGGAGGGCTATTCTTATGCTCCAGTAGTTACAGATTCAATTTCCACATATAAAATTACATTCATTTCTTAGTTGGCATGGTACTACTACATGGTTTCAATTTCAAAGAATTTTGATAGTAAGTAAACCAGATGTTATTCATTACACACAATAGGTTGTCGGATCTTGTTGTATTATGAAAAATCCATGGACTGTACTGAAGAGAACCAGCAGGTGTAGAAAAGTTTGTCATTAGGAATCCATCTGTATTAAGTTCTGCAGAAGGAAAAGCTCAGATAATGATTGGTATTTGAAAGCCTAGCCTTGACAAATCAGATCAATGCATCATATTATGGAAAATTCATGATGTAGCTGTTCTTCCACCATAAAATGCTATTTTTTGATACAGTTACAGTCCTAATTTTAGAAAGGTTTTCAATCAATCTGACAGATCATCTTCGGAAACTTTTATCCCCACTATCCAAGACCAGTACAAAAATTGAATGATTTTAGACAAAGTATTCGTGATTGACAATACACAACTCCGTTCCATGAAAAAGGATGTCAAGTGTATTGAGCATGCCAAAATTGAATCTGATCTGTGTACTTACGTGTGTTGAATGAATCCCATGGGTTTTCGTCATCAACTCCTAGACGAATCCACTGGGTGACTATCTTCTTTTCACCTACAAGAACAGGGCATCCGGAATGTTCAGTGAAGCCTTTGTCCATTAATTTTGTTTCTGGGTCGATGTACGAAAAGAAAACTGCACCACCTTTGACTGGCTTCAAATGAACACCTGAGTTTCGAAAGTTTGTATGACCCCCAACTTCAGGTATTGTACTACGAATAACATCAAGTTTTCACAATGTATTTGGGATTACGACCAACAAAGGATATAAAATGAGATGAGCAATACAGAAGCTGTAGATCAAAACAGAATCACCAGTTGATCTAGACTTACCAGTACATGACCATTGTTGCCATCCTAGTTCCTGTCTTGTGCGGCAGGCCCGAGCAGTCTCTATTTTCAGCAATTATCAAATTCAAATGTTGGAGAAGTCAGAGCACGGAAGAAAAAGGGCATATTCGACCAAAAATGACGTAGCTTACACGTCAATTCGCAGAATCAACAATACTTTACCACTCACCCATCACAGTGTGGTGTGTACCTATCCGGCTCAGTATCATTCAGACCTCTCCCAAAATATTGGATAGACATCAAATCCTCTTGGCCGTGTTCTGCAATACCCAGATTCAAGATATAATTTGTGAAGTCGTAAACTCGTCTCGAGAGCACGGCAATATGATTCCCCTCATGCTCCTTCTCCCAGTCGACTTTGATTCCAGCTTGCATCGCCTTGCGGTGTTCGGAAAATTTTGATCCGCCCTTTCCATCAGCGACGCTAGCTTTGTGCAACTTTGGGGCGGCAGCCTCAGCCATCGCATCGCATTCTGCCTGGCTAATAAAATCTTTGACAAACATTATTTTTGAAGCAGGTCTATCCAACAATACTTGTACATCACGACCTTTACGATCCCGGGCACCACGCCATCGTGATTCCCTGACAGGTTCTGTCGAGTTCAGCTCCGTGTCAACACACGTGTAGTTCTCCATCATAGAGGCCATATTCGTTCTAATTTTGCTTTCAAAGGCTAGTTCTTCACTTGCTTTCGACAAACTTATCGTTAGTTCAGACTCCACACACTTCACGAGGCCATCCATGGCATCTTCAATCATCTCTTTATTGGTTCCTGCTTTTTGCAAGCGGTCTTTTGCTTTTGTTTCGCAGGTTCCCATTATTCCACGAGCTTTGAGCTGAGCACGAACTTGATCATCCAGGAATTCAATCTCGAGACCCTCATGGACAGTTACGACTATTGTTTTGTGCCGGTACAAATCCAATTTTCGATAGAAATACAAAAAAAGTCAATTCGAAGTCAATGAACGTAAATAGGCTGCGATCAGTTCATGAGTCACATCAGGGTACAGTGAACTTCGACCATAACTCACCCTGATCCGCGTTTTCTGACACGGCAAAAAATGCAGAACTACAGGTCTTATCTTCTGACTTGCAAACCCCAGTAGACGGGGATGGCTTTTCTCTAAGCTCGAACTCATGACTGACGAAAGAATTCAGCGAAAAGTCTGCACCGTTCATAATATCTGGTTCAGACATCAGTGAACCCTCGCGGGTTGTTGGCTGTATCGAGAAGGTTTATCAAAGAAAACGAAAGTTATGCAACATGAGAAAACCGGGCCAATCCAAGCAATCGTTTTCACCAAATATATCGTCCAGATTCGTCAAAAGATAATACTCAAAAGAGATCAAAATCGCAGGACACTCACATGAATCCAGTAAAGCTCGACTCGGGAACCAGAAGAGTTGACGATTTTGATCCCTCTTTCCTCGTTCGCTGCAGCAGTCGTCAAGGAAATCAACACAAGCGCAATCAGCTGAAGATGATACTGCCAGAAGGCAGTATTGCCAAAATGGACACGGGACATTCTTCTTCTCTTTTTCGGGTTCTTGAGTTTGGAGTGTTAATTGCAGCCTATCTGTGGTTTCCAAAGACCTTTCGCGAAGAAAACTCACAGAGATGACGATAAACGATAACAGTAGCAGCCCCATATTGTTCACAGGGTGGTGGATGGTGGATTACATGTAACGGTAGGTACAGAACGTATTTTCCTTGCCTTTTATTGTGAAGGGGATACTACTTGTACTACGTACGAGTACGGTACGTTACGTAAAACTGGAATTGTTCGTATCGTATTCTTACTGTACTACCCGAGTACGTACCGGTACCGTAGGAACGTTTCAATTTTAAAAATTGATGTGATGACTCCTTGGCAATGACTTGAAATTCACAATTCACAGCGCATAGAGTACTCGTATGAGGACTACCATACCTACGATACATACGTACCGTTCGCGATATCAAGACATCATCAATCAACATCAACCGTCAACCCGATTGATTTTTTTCTGGGTCGGTCGAAAATCCGATTAGTCTGGAGATCGAGGTGCACGAAGCTGCCTTTTAGAGATACTGCTCGAGTACGTACGTACGTACCTGGTAACCGACTGGTTACTCAGTTTTTGTCGAGTAACCGCGCGCTAGATTACTGCGCGTTACCAAAAAAATCGAGTAATCAGTTGCTAACAAATGCGTGTTATTTTTCTGCAATATTAATTGCAGCTTGACCGGATGACTGATTACTCGACAAAATTAGTAATCAAATTGGTAATCAGGAAAGCAGCTGTACAAATCCTACTGGCAGCTGTTGGCATCAAGTTTGCTCGCATCGACAGAGAAGTAGTAATCAAGTCAATTGCTATTTTCAATTGATATTTTCAGTGCGCTAATTGYTAGTCCGCAAAAAGGAGTAATTAACAGACGATACAGCGTGGAAGATCAARCAAGAACAGTAATCAGTAATCAGTAATCAGTACAGTAATCAGTATAGTAATCAGTACAGTAATCAGTAATCAGTGCAGTAATCAGTAATCATGACCCATCGAAGAGATCGCAATAGTCCTTTTGACTCAAACGCTATATTCGATGAGCCACCCCCAGAGTTAGGTCTGTCTCAGAGAAGCACCAGGAGCACCAGGAGCACCAGGAGCACCAGTAATCACGATGGCGTCATTATCGCTGACGCCAGCAGCCTGTCCCCAGCAGCACCTAGGAGGGGAGAGTTGACACAGGATGGGGCAAACACGATGATATCCTTTGCACGTCGGAGCTACATAGAAGATCACCTTCTTCGATCCAACGAACCATCGATTCTGCTTGCCCCTGATGATGAAGAGGCGCCATCAGCAGCGCCAAGAGTATCGATTGAGCCCGGGGATGTTCCTCCTCCACAGCAACGACAGCACGAAGAACAAGAGAATACTACTGCTGACACCACCAGCAGACAAATCGTCAATCCGTATYTACGAAGACAAGAAGAAGACTYGGCACGAAGGAACAAGCAAGAAGCAGCAAGAGCGTATGCAAAGAAGATCTTCGATAATCCCAACCACGCAAATACTTTTGGAGCAAAAGCACACATTGCAAAGGAAGCAACATCAACAACTGCTGACTATTCAAAAAGAGTTGCTTCAGTACACCGCCGCTTTGAGGAAATTGTAAGAGAAGCAACGGCTCCACGGGGGAATGATCCTGGAGATGTACAGCTTTACAAATACTTCACGAACRAGGTTGATCTTCCTGATGGACTGAGACGCGACCTTGAGTTCTATGCTGTTGTTGGAGGGGAACCAGAGCCATTCAAAAAGCAGATAGCCAATCAAGCCTTGTGTATCTGGACTCTCAACATCAAGAAAATGAGAGTTAGAGGTGGGAAGAATCCTAACRAGCCACTCGATACATCGACACATGCCACTTATATCAAGTATGTATTCACTGCATTTGCAGCAAGAGGGATCAAATACAAGAGCAGTGACTTTAATGGGAAGGGAGGCTTCTTGGGAGTATGCAAAGCAGATTGGAATGAGAAGAGGGAAGCAGATCCAACACTCGGAACCAAGAGGAATAAAGCCAAGTTCGATGAGCATGGCGACGACAAATACCACTCGAAGCTTTATGATGGAACCTACAAGCCTTTTGATGATGATCTTGATCTAATGAAGGTGATTGCAATGGAGCTTGGAAGACAGTTTGGTCTGAGGGGGAAAACTGAGCTAGTATTCTTGAAGTGGAGCRACGTGAGCCTTGGTACRTATGATTGCGGAGTGAATAAGGGTCTCCGACATATTACTATTTCCCCTTGTGGAGGGGATGATAAAGCAAACAAGATATCGGTTCTTCATCCCACHGTGAATGAACAAAAGCCAAGGGTCGTGGAGCAAAAGGAGGACAAGTACTGTATCGTGAAACTAATCTTCCATTACAGGAAGCTTTGCAGCCCATCACAGAAGAGATTCTTCTGCTACGTGAACCACAGGAGGAGGAAGGGAAATCCTTATCACTACAGACCCAACTCCCAGATTGGAGGCGATCCTATTCGTGAGTGGATCAAGGAGTTTGCAAAGATAGCCGGCTTCACGGACTGGGAGAAGTTCAYTCCCCACGATAACAGGCATCGGTGTATTACAGCTCTTGCATCTAATGAGAATGTAACTGATAAGATGCGGATGAACCACGTCAGGCATAAGAATGCAAAGTCAGCTGAGCCCTATATTCATGATAACTCAATGATTCAAAACCAGCTTCAAACAGCTCTTCGTGACGGTGTGAATCGTCGTTTGGTGCCGGGCAGTACTGGTGCTGGTGAAACTAGTCACGATTTGCATACTACTACGACGAGTGCTACTAATAACAGCAACAAGGAGAACACTGCACCATCCTCGGAAGAAGCGATTGGGAATCAAACAAGCACCAGCAGTGGAGGAGTGYCGTCTCTGTTGTTGTCACCAAGGAAGCTTGCCCTGCAAAAAGAAATTGCTGAGCTAAAGAAGAAAGCAAAGAAGCGGAAGAGTAGCTTCAAAGAACAAACAAGTGAGGATGCAAAGAAGCATCGAAAAGAGCTCCAGGAAATCAAGGATGATAATGCTGAGCTGACCACTATTGTTCATGATCTGGAGGCGACGATTCAACAACAGGAAAAACAAATCAAGCGGATGAAGGATGTCCAAGCTGACAAAGTTGCTGAGCTTGAAGATGAGCTTGACAAAGTGAATGAAGATCTGCTTGAGAGCAATCGAAAGTTAGAATCGGCATCAAGGGGGAACAAGGAGGACAGCGGCAAGGAAATTCGTGACGAGTTGAGAGCAGTAGGAAGAGAGCTAACTCATAAGATTGAGCAGATTGACATGCRCCTTGAGTTGAGTATCAGCAAGATTCGTGAATCGATAATTCGCAATAGTACTACTAGTACTGGAACCGCGTGCTTCATCATGTAATCCTTCCCCCTTTGAAGGACGATCCAAGGAGGGAGTAGTACTATATTGCGGAGGCAGTGCTTGTCGGAGCTTATCGTGTGGCAAAAACTGAGCCTACGTACAGTTGTCGTAGAATAATGTACTAGAAAAAAAATTCAGATTTTAGCAAAATTGAGCAGTCTAGTGCCTTGATTTCTAATTTTCTCRTAGAATCCTACGCGAAATTTGTACCAGAAACTGAAAATCAGTCCAGTTTTTCATCGAAACTGGAGGAAAAGCAGCATCCACCACCAGGGAGGGGGAACCAGGGAGGGAAAAGAGCCCAATCCCCTACATCGGAGGAGGCAGTGCTTGTAGTTCATTTGCAGCATCCGGAGGGACCGGGAGGGAAAAGAGCCCAATCCCCTACATCG